CGGCCCTCTACAGAATCCACCCCCCAAACCTCCAGGTATTTCCCTCCTTAGAGATGGCAACCCTACATTCACCTAAGTGAGAGTTGGTAGGCAACTAAGGAAGGCCGATGCCTCCGTTGCCCGGCCCTCTACAGAATCCACCCCCCAAACCTCCAGGTATTTCCCTCCTTAGAGCTGGCAACCCTACATTCCCCTCAGTGCCTGTTGGTAGGCAACTAAGCTTGGTCCTGTCACCTACTTTGGCCTTTGGGAGAAAACACATTGGGGCCAGTCCTGATAGGGTTGCCAACTCCAGATGGGAAATTCCTGGAGACTTGAGGGATGGAGCCTGAAGAGGGTGAGGTTTGAGGAAGGGTGGGACCTCAGACAGGTACACTACCATAGACTCCACCCTCCAAACCAGTCAGTCCCACATAGGGAACCATTGTTGCCAATCTCCAGGTGAGGGCTGGAGAGCACTCAGAATTACAACTGCTCTGCAGAAGGGAGGGCAGAAGTCAGCTGAAGTCAAAGGGGCAGATAATGGTAGGTTGATGGCTAGCTGGAAAGGAGATGGGGTTGCCAACTACATGCTGACAAATTCCTGGAGATTTGAGGGGTGGAGCCTGGAGAGGGTGGGGTTTGCAGAGGGGTGGGACCTCAGACAGGTAGAATGCCATAGACTACACCCTCCAAACCAGCCATTTTGTCCTGGGTAACAATTGCTGCCAATCTCCAGGTGAGGGCTACAGATTACTCACAATTACAACTGCTCTTCAGGTAGCAGAGATCAGTTCCTCTGGAGAAAACAGTGGACTCTGTCATTATACCCTGCTGAGGTCACCACAGCAAATTGACACTGTTTGCCCAAAGCCAGAGCACTGCCCCAGAGCCTCTTTCTAGATCCCGTTGTATTGCTTTCACAACGGGCTTTACTGCTAGTTAGAAATAAAGATATGCAGTGTAAATCCGAATTCGACATACCACTGTCAGATGGATGTAGGCATATTATGGGACAAGTAGGGGGGGGTGGTTGCGGTGATTCTGGGTTTCCCAACCTAGATTTTTGTCCCGGGCCCCAGAATTACGATGACTGTCCCATGTGAAACAAAATATTAGACTAAATGAACCACTGGTCTGATCTAGCAGGGCCCTTTATTTGTTCTGAAGAGCAGGCCAGGACATTTCCCCCCACAGCCAAATTGACAGTCCTAGTAAGCCTCTTTGCAAATGCATAGTCCAGTGCACAAACCAAAGACGAGGTGGGTGCGGAAGTGGAGAAAGGAGGAAATGAGAGCAGGATAAGGCAACATGATCCTGATTCTCCACCTCAGGTAGGATTTGAATGTGTGCATAAGGCTGTAACAGTGCATATGTCCCATATATAGCAATGTACAGTTACTCTAGATGCCATTAGTGGACTTGATTTCTTGCTTGCACTTTTAACAGGGGGAGTGTTCTTGCAGATTAGAGACTTGCTAGAAGATACATACAAGATCTACTGTTACCACCATGATGATGCACACATCTTGCTGGAGTCCTATGAGAAGGATGAAGAGCTGAAGCAATGTCTAAGGGACTGCTTACAATCTTTAAAGTGAGTTCTTTCCCAGTGACTGTTCCACTCATTGCCCTGCATGAGAAGGTTTAAAGGGACGTAGATGTACTTCCTCTTATAAAGCCTGAGGTTTATGTGGTCTTCTGGGAGCTCAGGCTTATAATGCTTTCCTGGAACTGTGAATATATTTCTTTCTTATTAGGGAAGACTGAAAATGGAAAGTATCTCCAACCTGACACCAAAGCAGCCTTCCTAGAGAGGTTGCTTCAGGGATGCTCCATCTTAAACCCAAGCAGGGCACCATTTTATTGCAAAGAGGACATCTATCTGTATCTAACTTGAATGATCATCAGAGCAAAATCCTCATCCCTTCATTAAGTAAAGCTGTTCTTAAATTTATTGGGCCTTTTTACTTGCTTTTACTAGCTTGCTTTGCTATGGTCCTTTCTTGTTAAGTACTGCTCTCTCAGGAAGCTGTAGGGTCAGATATATCAATAGCTTTCTGACTTCGGTACGTAGTAGGTTTGCCAGGTCCAGGATGGGAAACTCCTGGAGATCTGGGGATGGAGCCTGGGGAGGACTGGGACCTCGGTGGGGTACAACTAGGGTTGCCAGCATTCTGGGGTAGGAGGAACATTGCATGCAATGTCCCCCCCATGATGACATCAGTGGAAAGTGATGTTATCATGTCAGTGATGTCACACGCAACACTCTGGTTTTTGGGCAAAACTCTATGGGGTTTTTTGCTTTCAAAACCGTAGAGTTTGCCCAAAAACCAGAGTATCACCATGAAACATCCCCAGCACAATGATGTCACCTGAAAGTGATGTCATTGTGTGATGTCCCTGTTTGGGGGTGGGGTTTCCTCCACCAGCCAGCTGGCCGGCAACAGATCAAAGCCCCCAAAAGTGGAGGAACCCCTGCTGGGACCCAGGGTCTGGCAACCCTAGGTACAACGTCATACAGTCCACCCTCCAAAGCATCCATTTTCTCTATGGGAACAGATGTCTGTAGTCTGGAGAGTTGTAATTCTGGGGGATCCCCCAGGTCCCACCTGGAGGCTGGTATGCAGCCCCAGTGAATCTGGAGCATCTGCAAAGAAATGTCATTTGTAAGGTAAAGTTATTATCCTGGTAGTGGTTTCAGAGTGCGTCTGATTGAGTACTCTGTGCACCTGGCAGTCACCACGCTTCGTCGCCTAGCAGAACTGAATTCAGTGGGATTAATATTCACATAAACCTTGTTAGGCTCATGCTATTGATATTTCCTTCTTGGAGAAAGTAGACCTCACCACGTTTACACGTACACTTAATGACTTCCTGGCCAGACTGTTGTGATGAACTCTATGTATCTTTGAACAGTTTTCAGAAATCTCAGCTGGTTCAAAATGTGGGGTTACTGTGCATATATGATGACAATATTCAACATTCATGATGTTGGCCAAGTTCAGGAAATAATCCAATCCACGCTTTGGAGTTTGCTTTTTTTGGGGGGGGGGAACCAATAACTGACAGCAGGCCACTAATACAACAGAGAGGCCTTCAGAGCACAAGCACTACATACTAAGACCCAGCAGAAAGAGAAACAAGAGGTAGGCTGAACTGCAAGAAAAAACATTCAATAAGCCCTAGAGAACGCCCCACAGCTCCCCCTAGGGTACAAGTGGACTAAACTACTCTTTTCAGTAGTTATCTAGACTCTTAGGAGGGTATTGCTTCTCCAACACACAACTCCTATTTGTTTCTGGGCCCATTTCAAAGTGCTGGCTGTACCTTTAGGGCTCTAACTGCAAGCTCTGCCTTCTCCAATATGAACCTACCTGTATGCTTTAATTAGCTGAAGATGCCCTGTTTTATGTCTCAGCTCAATGGGTAAGTACACAAAACAGGGCCTTCTCAGTGGCAGCACCAGGCCTTTGGAAATTTTCCCAGCATGCATGTCTGGCACCTTATTTCAGAGTTTTACAATTAGGATTGCTAACTACCTGGAGAGAAAAAATGCCTTGTCCCTTTAACAGCGGCTTAAATGTGTGGAAATGGGCAGCTGAAGCTTTTCATGGCACACAGGTAAACACTATCCACTGGTGGGTAAATCCTCTGTTAAAGGAACAGGACTTTTTCCCTTCAAGTTCTTGCCACCCCAATTTATAATACAATTTCATGAAGGTAAAGTTAACAAAACTAAACTAACTGAAATTATTGGTCTTAGACTGCAGTAACTGCATGGGATTATAATCATCAGAAGTTTAGTTTTTTTAAAGCTTCATCCATTTGCATTTGAGCTGGATTTGGAATTGCCTGGAGGAAAAAAATGTCCTGTCCCTTTAATAGAGGTTTAAAGTATGGCACTGGGCAGCTGAAACATTTCACCAGGTAAATTGCATCTCCTGGTATATAATATCCTGTTATCTATATATCTAATAGCGAACTTGCCCCCGGAGTGCGGATCGCTAAATCAGCGCTCCGGGGGCAGCTGGGGGGCCGGGGGGGAGGTTTGTGCACACGTGGGCCAGTCCCCACGTGTGCACAAAAATAAAAAAAGTTGAAAAAAAATTCGGAGGGATGTTTAAATCCCCCCGAAAGTGCAAGAGCGTCTCCTGCGCATGCGCAGGAGACGCTCTGTAACTGCCGCCGCCGCTTGGGAGACAATCAGC